AGGGGGACCGCCGAAATTGTAGCCTTTCTCTTGGTTTTCCTGGAAACCAACATGAAATGGGTACCCTCAAAAAGAAAATAACTGATGTGTGTGTGTGTGTGTCGTGTGTGGCTGTCTAGATCGCTAACAAGCACCCTTGTTCCAGCATGTTTGCCGTGCGGAGACGCTAGCGAAGATTGTTTTGTTTGTTAAAGGGTTTGTTTGTTTGTTTGTTTGTTTGTTTATTTGCTTGTTTGTTTGATTGTTTGTTTTTTTTGTTTGTTTTGGCTTGCTTGCTTGCGTGCTTGATGTTGTGTATTTCTTTTGTTTGTTATTAATTTCCCTATTTCTTTCTTGTGTTTGTTTGGTTGTATGTTTTTTTTTTCCAAGAGGCTATCATTTTGATAGACCACAAGCATGTTTCCACACACACACACGGAAGCATACAGAGGCTTTCGCAGAAGGTTTGAAGACACATGTGTTCCACATGCGCTTTGTTCGGCTTGTGCCTCGCTTGTTCTTTCCACACCTGGGAAGCCTGGGCTTTTCTCAAAACAAGGTTTTACCTGAAATGGCTAGTTTCCTTTAAGTTGTCCTTTGGATACCAACCAATAAAAGGGGTCAATAGTTTTGGGAACACTCACCGGTTTCACTCTGTGAAAGTCTGCGCAGGCAGGGCAATTCTTGATGTTGGCAAGCGCCCATTCAGAGTTTTCAATCTGTCAAGACTAGGCTTGAACATGTATATAGCTACAGGTTGCAGCGTTGTGTAGGCTTGTCTGTATTTGTGTTTCCACGTCTTTCACAAGCAGTTAAAAAGCAGAGCGAGACCAATCGCTGCGAGAGTGAAGCCATGAACCTTCTCGGCGAGCTAGTGGCTTTGCGTAGCCTTCATGGTCCTGGAAAACACCATGATCAATTGGGCTCATTCATGGGTCTGATTCAGGAGACCCGTTCAACGGGTTCTAATGAATAGAAGGGTTCCAGCTTGCGCCAAAGGACAATCAGTGTGTGTAGCATCCTGGAACCCATTGAGGGTCACCAAACTGATGAGAAAAACACATATATACATATTCTTGCTTGGTTTGCGGAACCAACCCCGAGCTTTAGGTAGCGTCTCCTTTACTTAAGCCAATTATCTTTTTTTGGCCAGTGAGCTGTTCCCTTTTTCACTGACCCGAAAGGTTGTTGATTGTTTCAGCAAAACAAGTAATTTAAAGCTTGGCATGTACCATGCCGGAAGCTTTGCAGGTGGTGGCCAGGGCAATTGGCACAATATCTCTGTAACAAAGGCCCAAGACCTATCCATAAAAAACGTATAAGCAAACGTGTCACAGCAATCAAGTGCTAGGCAGTTATGCGAACAAAGCAGGCAGGCGTAAGATGCTGGCTTGACTGTGACACAACTGCATCAAGTCGTAAAGATTTCTACATCTCTTCATGTCCATCTGGTGGACGCAACTATCTCCCCCGAAGCCCCAACCTCCTCGGAACATGCTTTGCATCAGAAACATCAAAAACCAGGACGCCGCTAACGGCGATTGTAGCTTGCTTTATGCGCAGGAGATGATGGAAGCAGCGGCAGCGACAGTAGCGACAGTGACAGCGACAGCAGCAGCAGCAGTAGCAGTGCAGGCCGGAGAGGAGTTCACATGCAGAGTTCCAGCACAGTTGCGCTTGGTATTCATCCTTAATGGCACTATGTTTTGTTTCATGGTTTACTCACTTCTGAACCAAGCTTCCAGGCACTTGCGCACTCATGACTCAGTATGCATTTGACGCCGCTGGAATAGCTTGCCAGAGGGTGCGGGTTATTCATTGCAATGGAAGGCTGGTGTTTGCCAGCCAGGCGATATATGATGTCGCGTTGGCCATTTTTTCAAGGTCCGGAGCTTTGGTGAATGCCAACAGGCAACAAAGAGGAAAGCAAGTATTATATGTTGAAGGGCCCTGCGTTTCACATAGCTCTGTTTAACTCCGTATATTTCCATGCTTTTGACGAGGGTCAGTCAGCACAACCCCTGAAATGAAGCTATTTCATTGTTGTGGAGCCAAACATCAGCTGCTTTGAACATGGGCGTGAGTCGAGAGGAGCAATGCCATGATGGTAGCTGGCCCATGTAATAGTTAGATTAGCAGACAACATATTGTTGGATAGACGGGGGATTGTCCGGACCCGCCACGTCAACTGAAGGGACTGCAACAGGACAATGTTACATTGCCTTGGTCTTTACTGCGCATTCTGGCTTGCCCTGAGTTGACAATCCGCAAGTGATGCTTCAGTCGCACGTACTCCGACATCCAAGTCAGAGTACACGCGGCTGACAGGCGCATGGTATTGCGGATTTTCACATTTCTGCTCAGGATTGAATGGCCTTTAAATGCCTGAACCAATGGCTGCAGACCTGGCGCCTCATGTAAAAACATAGCAGCGAGCACTGGTATATGTGCTTTGTGCACGGGGAGTCTTTGTAGGAAAGACCGAGCGATTGAGCACTACTTTGAAAGAAACTCGGCTGCTCAACTTAACTTGGCAGCCTCCCCGTGCACGAAGCACATAGAGCTTTACGCTCTGTTTTTCCATGAGACGCATCACCCATGATGTGTCTTAGTTGACTTCTCGACCTGCAGCAGGAATGTTAAAGTTCATCCCTTTTGAAATGTTCCCTACAGAATGGGAGGGGTTGACCTCCATTTAAACGGTCTTTTCTGATAGCGAAAGGGGGGGAGTCACGCCTCACGTTGGGTGCACACATTTTGTAGTAAACCCATTTTGTAGAGAGATGAATTCGGTCTATAAAATGAGTTGCTGCAGCATGCATGCATTTTGTAGAAGTTGTATATGTCGTGTTTTCTTAGCGGGGCATGTTGAGATATGTTGAGAGTGTGTTCAAGAAATCAGGTTTGGCAACGTTGGCATTTTGTAGAGCTTGGGCTAGGTTGAGGCTGAAGCTGTTGGCAGAGAACGTCTCAACTCGGCCGTAAAAAACATGACGCTTGGATGACCACTTGGTAGCGGCGAACAAAAACAATGGTCAAATTCAATTCAGGGACCCAGTTCATAGATAAGCTGTTCTGCAACCGCCGTCATTTTGCAGACGTTGTTGTTTCTTCTTTTTCCGCAAGCTCCAATTTTATACTATAGAATGGGTGTTCCAACCACACCCCCTAAGTTTCAAGGAGGATGAACGTTTCGCGATCCCTTGCGCCCGTCAGCACGAAGCATCTCGGCCACTGACGTAATCATGCCCCCCCCCCGCCCCGGCCCCGCAAAGTCCTTCCGGGCAATCGTGCCGAGCAACTTCTGGATCAGAACAGCACGACGCGGGGGTAGTTTCTGGGTAAACGCCCCCGTCTTTCCAACATATTGTTCCGAAGTACTTGCAATATTGAGAACTTTGAAGGCGCAGTTACTCCCATGACAAACATGACAGTAACCAACTGATAGCAAAACAGAACAGGCATCGCGCGTGACGCAGTCAGGTGAAGATGTGTGGCACTTGGAGAAGGGCTGGGGTTCTAGTGCTGTCTTTTTTGCATGGTCTGAACATAGAGATTCTTCTTTCCAGGCCGGTGAACCATTTCTGCTGGGTGCTATATAGCCACGGTATTTTTGACTTAGCCCAAAACGAAACCAACAGGGATGGTTTTCTAGACCCCCTAACTATCGACACCCAGCCCCTATCCAACAGAACAAACAATCAAGCAGGATTTATTGTTGCCTGCTTCGCGGAAGAACATCAGCTGGGCCATGGTTCGTTGCTCGCATGTTTGATCAAGACTTTGTTTGACTTGATGTGTAAACAACATATGAAGTACCGTCAAATTACGTCTGTTGAGTTGAGTATTCGGTGTTTCATTGACATTGTGAAAATGCACACACAAAACCATGGCAACCGATAGGGGACTCTCAAAAAAACAAATCCCTGGAAAACGATAGGGGACTCTCAAAGCGAAACGGCCGCAAGTATTTTCAACCGTGCCTCATGTGCATCCTGTATTTGTTCCACGGGAGACTGGAACACATTCAAGCTTAAGAAGAGACTACCAAGCTGGAAAACTATGCTAAGAAACCATTTAGCTGGACCTCTAATCTTGTTTTCTCGCCTCAGACTGCAATCCGTAGACTCAGGAACATGGCAATTAGCCATTTCTTGCAGATAAAACACAGCTGTTCATGGCTGGTACATCCTGTGTGACCGTTTCCCTCACTACAATGCACAGCTAATTCCATAGTGTTATTGATTCGGTTGTGCGAGACTGTTTGAATCCCTGCGTTGTGTTTGTTGCACGTGCAAATAAATGTGTTTGTTGTTTTCTCCAATCTGCAGTTGGGTGAAAGTACTGGTAGGGGGCACAACCTAGGTTCTTGTCATCTTCTTAAATTGGCTACGAGCATGAAGGGAGTCGTGCCATCTTTGGTCCACGACAGTAGTTGATCGTTTCTTCCGAGCCCGCCTCAGTCTTCGGATGATTTGGGCGTTCTGAAGAGCGGGGCCGCGTGACAGATTCAGTGCATCAGATTTTGGCACGAGCAAGCCGATTCGGCAATTTCCACGTCATGGTTTGTTTGCCATCACGAGCAAGGGCTTCCTCATAGGGTGCAGCACTTGTTTCCTGTGAGTCAGTTTATGGTCGTGATATATGGCAATCCAGTTGTTTGGATTAATTACGGGGGGAAACAACAATCAGGGAGACCTGTCCATTCCTTGTGCCATTGCTATAATCCCTACTTGGCACTGCTTGGGCGTAGCAGGGATGGTTATTAACCTCTTAGCAGGATTTGCTTGACAACCAATGTAAATGTTCCTACTGAGAGTTTGATGCCTATGTCCCACATTAAGAGTCTTGACCAAAAGCCCCCGTACGTGTGGTCTCTCCAAAACGATGTTATTGTTTTCAGGCTGGGCCATGGTATGGGTCTCTCTTTTTTTGACTATTCCCAAGGTTACGTCCTTCACTTCCTCCCTGCCAGCCGGTTCCGCACCGCATCATTGGCTCAAGGGTGCCCGTGATGAAGCATGGCAGATGCCAATGCTTGGAACAGCGACTCTTGGCGTGACGATTTTACCTGGCCAGTGCAGCAGATTGTTTTGTTGTTGTTTTGTTCTTTGGGCACTTGATGCGGTGGGTATTTGGCAAATGTCGTGTAGTTGAGGCTGGTTTGCTGGTTTCTCGGATTTGGGCAACTGTTTAAGAATCTATTTGGTGCATGGGCAGACATGCGAAGCTCACTGGGTGGTTGGGCTTGTTGTTCTTGGCAGAACTAGGACTTGGCATGGTCCGCAAACTGCACTTTAATGCTGTTCAACAGGCTAGTGCAGATTGCGTCTCTGTGTTGTTGAGCATGAAGCTGCTGCCAGCTTGGCTACAGGGTGGAATGAAGCTACGGGAAGATTTGATAGCCACTCGCTGCTAGCTTGTGAGTGCCTGACCCGGACCTCCGTCAAATGGGGTGAAGAACGGGTCCTTTTCAAGCATAGCGACAGCAACCATCGCTGCCTGAGATCAGGGACCCATGTTTAGAAGACCCTCACATGACAGGAGGTAGCATTTGACACTGCTAGCTTGTGAGTGCCTGACCCGGAAGAACGGGTCCTTTTCAAACATAGCGACAGCAACCATCGCTGCCTGAGATCAGGGACCCATGTTTAGAAAACCCTCACATGACAGGAGGTAGCATTTGACCAAGGCAGAATAGCATACCTTTGCTCAGACCTTTGAAGGGGTCCAGCAAATAAAATTTCTCCACAATAAGCTTTTTGGGGGTTTCATGTCAATCTGCAGGGGACTATCTTGAGAGAACAACAGAATGACTCGGACGACCAGACCATTGCTGATTGCAAGGGCATTGCGATTTTAGTACTTTGTTCACATGGGCGGGAGGCCCCATTGTGAAACACGCGGAGCTGAGTAGCGTAGATAGCCATCGCATGATCTGGAATGTTACAGCCATGAGAGCACTATTTAACGTGCCCAGTATAGGTCGGTCTATTTGCCAGCTATAAACGGGACGTTTTGCTTGACTGGGCAGGCAGCACCATGTGATCCATCTCTACATGGGCCACGGTCATGGCGCTCAGGGAACTATGAATTTAATTTTAGCGTCATGGCCATGAATCTATGATGAACACATGAAACGTGCTCCCCCCCAACAGCGACTGGCAGGAGGGGGTCAAATCGTCAACTTTGGGTTTGGGGCAGCTCTCGGCCAAGGAAGCAGAAGAAGCAGCCCTCGAGGCGGAGGTAGAGATCCCTAGCGGCTACAAGGTGCCTCAAAAATTGGAAATTTCGACGGAAGCTGCTCAACCCTGCAACTATTCCAAAATGGGACACCTCCTAAATCATGAGGCGGGGTGACACGGGGTGACTTTCTCTGAGTCAGAATGATTGTGAATATTTTTTCCCACATCTTTGTGTGGGGTTCTGATTTTTACCGCTGCGCGCCCGACTCCCGCCGCCGCGCCCGACCCCCGCCGCCGCGCCCGACTCACTCACTCACACACACTCCGCGCCCGACTCCCGCCGCCGCTGCCGCCCCGTCGCTCTCACTCACTCACACACACTCACTCACACACACTCACTCACACACACTCACTCACTCACACACACACTCACTCACACACACTCACTCACACACACTCACTCACATACACTCACTCACACACACTCACTCACACACACTCACTCACACACACACACACTCACTCACACACACTCACTCACACACACTCACTCACACACACTCACTCACTCACACTCACTCACACTCACTCACCCACTCACCCGCACAAAGTCACTCACTCACACACACTCACTCACACACACTGATTCACACACACACACTCACTCACTCACACACACTGACTCACACACACTCACTCAGACACGGCTTGCGTTTGCGTGGCAGAGGCAGCATTTGGGAGCTGTTTAAAGGGCTGGGATGTTGTCGCGCGCGCGGCTGTGGGCCCCCATCTCGCGTGGCAGGCGCAGCACTTTGGAGAGGCAAGTGCTGAAATCGTGGCAGGCGCAGTACTTCGTGCACCTGGGCTTGCGTTTGCATGGCAGGGGCAGCGTTTGGGAGCTGTCTAAAGGGCTGGGATGTTGTGGCGCGCGCGGCTGTGGGCCCCCATCTCGCGTGGCAGGCGCAGCACTTTGGACAGGCAAGTGCTGAAGTCGTGGCAGGCGCAGTACTTCGTGTACCTGGGCTTGCGTTTGCGTGGCAGGGGCAGCATTTGGGAGCTGTCTAAAGGGCTGGGGTGTTGTCGCGCGCGCGCGGCTGTGGGCCCCCATCTCGCGTGGCGCTCGCAGCACTTTGGAGATGCAAGTGCTGAAGCCGTGGCAGGCGCAGTACTTCGTGCACCTCGGCTTACGTTTGCGTGGCAGGGGCAGCATTTGGGAGCTGTCTAAAGGGCTGGGGTGTTGTCGCGCGCGCGGCTGTGGGCCCCCATCTTGCGTGGCACTCGCAGCACTTTGGAGAGGCAAGTGCTGAAATCGTGGCAGGCGCAGTAGCGTTTGGGAGCTGGGATGTTGTGGCGCGCGGCTGTGGGCCCCCATCTCGCGTGGCAGGCGCAGTACTTTGGAGATGCAAGTGCTGAAATCGTGGCAGGCGCAGTACTTCGTGTACCTGGGCTTGCGTTTGCGTGGCAGGGGCAGCATTTGGGAGCTGTCTAAAGGGCTGGGGTGTTGTCGCGCGCGCGCCTGTAGGCCCCCATCTCGCGTGGCACTCGCAGCACTTTGGAGAGATCGTGGCAGGCGCAGTACTTCGTGCACCTGGGCTTGCGTTTGCGTGGCAGGGGCAGCGTTTGGAAGCTGTCTAAAGGGCTGGGATGTTGTGGCGCGCGCGGCTGTGGGCCCCCATCTCGCATGGCAGGCGCAGCACTTTGGAGATGCAAGTGCTGAAATTGTGGCAGGCGCAGTACTTCGTGCACCTGGGCTTTGCGTTTAGGTGGCAGGGGCAGCATTTGGGAGCTGTCTAAAGGGCTGGGGTGTTGTCGCGCGCGCGGCTGTGGGCCCCCATCTCGCGTGGCAGGCGCAGGACTTTGGAGATGCAAGTGCTGAAATCGTAGCAGGCGCAGTACTTCGTGGACCTGGGCTTGCGTTGGCGTGGCAGGGGCAGCGTTTGGAACTGTTTAAAGGGCTGGGGTGTTGTTGCGCGCGCGGCTGTGGGCTCCCATCTCGCGTGGCAGGCGCAGCACTTTGGACAGGCAAGTGCTGAAATCGTGGCAGGCGCAGTACTTCGTGCACCTGGGCTTGCGTTTGTGTGCCAGGGGCAGCATTTGGGAGCTGTTTAAAGGGCTGGGGTGTTGTCGCGCGCGCGGCTGTGGGCCCCCATCTCGCGTGGCAGGCGCAGCACTTTGGAGATGCAAGTGCTGAAGTCGTGGCAGGCGCAGTACTTCGCGCACCTGGGCTTGCGTTTGCGTGGCAGGGGCAGCATTTGGGAGCTGTCTAAAGGGCTGGGGTGTTGTCGCGCGCGCGGCTGTGGGCCCCCATCTTGCGTGGCACTCGCAGCACTTTGGAGAGGCAAGTGCTGAAATCGGGGCAGGCGCAGTACTTCGTGCACCTGGGCTTGGGTTTGCGTGGCAGGGGCAGCGTTTGGGAGCTGTCTAAAGGGCTGGGATGTTGTGGCGCGCGCGGCTGTGGGCGCCCATGTCCCGTGGCACTCGCAGCACTTTGGAGATGCACGCGTGAAACCGTGGCAGGCGCAGTACTTCGTGCACCTGGGCTTGCGTTTGTGGCTGGTGCCCAACAGCAGGGCATGTAGGCACTTCTGACTGTCTATGTCAGGTTGCTTTTACAACCTGCGATCCTCAATCGATGTAAGTGTGGCGCATCTTCATAAGCATAGACATGTGGGGTTATCCGGTCCTTTAATTTGGAATTATCAGTACTATATCATTGTTACAATGACTTATTCTTGTTTATTATGATTAGTGCTATTAATAGTGCTATTGTTTATTATTATTAGTATTATTCCCCAGATAGCTGAAAGCTATAGGGGTTCTAACTTCTAATGAATAAGGGAAGGTGATTTGCGAGATTGAGGGCCGGGTGCTAGGGGGCATGCAGTTTGGAGTGCTGGTGGAGGTGCTGCGTTGTGAGCTTGAGGGGGCATGCAGTTTGGGGTGTTGGTGGAGGCGCTGTTTTGCGAGATTGACGGCCGGGTGCTAGGCGGCATGTAGTTTGCGGTGCTGATGGAGGTGCTGCTTTGCGAGATGACGGCTGGGTGCTAGGGGATGCAGTTTGGAGTGCTGGTGGAGGAAGCATGCAGTTTGGGGTGTTGGTGGAGGTGCTGTTTTGCAAGATTGACGGCTAGGGGGCATGTAGTTTGGGGTGCTGGTGGAGGTGCTTTTTTGCCGGCCGCAGTTTGGGGTGCTGGCTAGGTGCCGCTTTGCGAGATTGACGGCTGAGTTTGAGGTTCTGGTGGAGGGATTGACGTCCGGGTGCTAGGGGGCATGCAGTTTGGGCTATGGGTGCTGGTGGAGGTGCCGCTTTGCGAGATTGACGGCCGAGTGCAAGGGGGGCATGTAGTTTGGGGTGCTGCTGTTTTGCGAGCTTGATGGCCGGGCATGCAGTTTGGGGTGCTGGCTGGAGGTGCTGCTACGTCTGAGTGCTAGGGGGGCATGTAGTTTGGGGTGCTGTTTTGCGAGATTGACAGCCCAGTGCTAGACCATGTGGGGCAATTTGGGGTGGTGGCGAGCTTGATGGCCGGGTGCTAGAGGGCATTCAGTTTTGGGTGTTGGTGGAGGTGCTGTGTTGGGCCGCTTTGCGTGATTGATAGATGCAATTTGGAGTGCTAGTGGAGGTGCTGTTTTGCGAGCTTGACGGCCGGGTGCTACAGGGCATGCAGTTTGGGGTGTTGGTGGAGGTGCTGCTTTGCGAGATTGACGGCCGAGTGCTAGGGGGCATGTAGTTTGCGGTGTTGGTGGAGGTGCTGGAGGTGCCGCTTTGCAAGATTGACGGCCGAGTGCTAGGGGGCATGTAGTCTGGGGTGCTGGTGAAGGTGCTGGAGGCGTCGCTTTGCGAGATTGAGTGGAGGTGCTGTTTGACGCCCGGGTGCTCGGGGGCACGCGCGACATTGACGGGCGAGTGCAAGGGGCATGCAGTTTAGGGTGGCTGTGTGACGGCCGAGCGCTAGGGGGCATGTCGTTTGGGGCGCTGGTGGAGGTGCTGTTTTGCGAGGGTGCTTGTGGAGGTCCTGTTTTGCGAGATTGACGGCCGACCGCTAGGGGGCATGTAGTTTGAGGTGCTGGTGGAGGTGCTGCTTTGCGAGATTGAGGGCCGGGTGCTAGGGGGCATGCTCTTGGTGGAGGTGACGGGCGGGGCGCTGGTTTGCGATATTGACGCCCGTCCGTGTGCTAGAAGCATGCAGTTTGGAGTGCTGGTGGAGACGGCCGGGCGGTAGGGGCGGGTGCTAGTTTGGGGTGGTTGTGCAAGTGCTGTTCTGGATTGCTGTTTGATGTGCTGCTGACCGTGCGGGCGCTTCTTTCCCAGATAACTGAAAACCATATGGGTTCTCACTTCTAATGAAGAAGGGGAATTGTTTTGCAAGATCGACGGCTCTGGGAGCTAGGGGGCATGCGGTTTTGGGGTACTGGCGCAGGTGCGGTTTTGCGGCGCTGTTCGGGCTGGTGACAGTACGTGGCCGGGGTGCTCGGGTGCTGCGTTGGGGTGCTGTGGGCTGCTGCCTTGAGGGTGCGGGCGTATATGGACGGCAGGGTGCTAGGGCGGGTGCTGTTTGGGGGCATCGCGGTTGTGGCATCATCATGATGCTGTCCGCAGCATCATGATGCTGTTGAATCTATTCGGATGTTTTTGCTACTCTAAGTGACGTGCGTAATAGTTCGTGGTTCGGTTCTGGTGCATCATCATTGATGTTGTCAAACACGTCATGATGCTGCTGTCACTGCGATGCTGCGTTCTGGTGCGTGGGTGTGGTGGCGCCATGATGCTGTCAACATCAGGGTGATGCTGAATTTCATTTCGCTGTCGCAAGATGATCCGTGGCTGTGGTATCATCATGAGGTTGCCTTTACCCATCATCATGATGCTGTCCGCATCATCATGATGCTGTCGAAGTCATCAGGACGTCGTCTCTGCGTTTTTTTCTGCTAGATATGTAGCGCGGAATCGGTCGTGGCTGGTGCATCAGCATGCGATGCTGTCAACATCATCATTATGCTGCTGAACTTGTCTGCGCGTCTATTTAGCGCACCATGCTGAGCGGCTGTGGTATCATCATGATGTTGTCAACATCAGCATGATGCCGCGGGAGCCATTATGATGGTGCGTCATGGTGCGTAGTGGTGTGCTATCTGAGTTCTATACTAGTATAAGAATTATTATTACTGTTATTATTATTACTATTGTTATTTGTATATCTGTATGTGGAGCACTGCTTCTCAGTTGCTGAATCACATGGAAGAGTCCTTTTCAGGATGCCGGTTTGTGACGGCTAGAGCAACACAAAAAGCACTTGCTGCCCTTGGCATATCCCAGTCACAGCTCACCATCGTAGCATTTCGGCGGACCTGATTGTGGATCATGGACAAAAACTCCCGAATCAAATCTACGTGTCCAACAGCTCTAAATCAAGGGTCTGAAGCCATCCTTTACCGGGTAAGTGCTGTAAGTCGTCCCGGGTTGATCTAAGTCGTCCCGGGTGAGTGTGCCCGTTGTGTTTGTGGATGTAAGGATAGTTGTCTCAAGCATGTCATTTTCTGAAATCGCATAATTATGTGCTGCGCGCATGCAAAATGTATGATGTTCTACTCGAGGTATCCTGACAGAAAGGTGCCCATGAGATCCCAGATTCACAACATCAACATTTGGTCGGCTTCCATGTGCCGTGTGCATGCGTGTATGTTCACTGCCACTGGGTGGTTCTCTCTTCTCGTGCCGCAGCACTTGAAGTTGTGCCACAAGCGGAAGCAATAGGGCACGGCTCACCCGGCGCTCGCGCGGCACTCGCGCAGAGTCGCGCGGCACTCGCGCCGGCAGCCCTTTTGTCGGGTGTTCCGACCCGGAACCGGTTGTTTTTTACCAGCCTTTATGTTTGAAGGACAGGAACCCTTTAATTGCAGTGTGCCCAATAGGGTTTTGCCCGGGAAAAGCATTCAACATGAACCCAAACCAGTGAGTTTTGAGCATGTGCGTGCAGTGTGCGGTGAATTCTCGGGGTTGGCAACATCGCCCTTCCAGTTCTGTGCCCATTGTGTTTTGCAAAAATGGGGTCACTTAAAACGTATGGGGTGGCTTAAGCGGATATGCGTAGTTCCAAGCGGCTGGGGATGGCTGGGGTGACTTAACGCGACGCGGGGTGACTTACGACGCCCGCTTGTATCACGCAAGTCCCCCAGAAGCGTGTGTGAATCGTTTGGTGCGAATGTCTTGCATGCGCATCCGTGTTTTTCCAAGAATTTCCCTGTTACATGCCTTTGGAATGTTACACAACCTTTCCTTTGGAAACGAAGCCTATACAGCAACCAACGTTGGGTTGGTCAGGAACACCAACATGGAAAAGACGCATTCTTGGCCCCTCCCTTTTCTGTTTCAAAGAATTCAGTACACCCTTACAAATGGTTTGCTTCTTGTTGATGTCCGTTTAGACAACATCCCAAGAAGATATCCCCTCCAACAAGAACACGCGCACACATACACACACACGCTTATCGGGTACTCCCAGCACCGCCTCAACAATGGTACCCTCAAAAAAGAGCACACACACACAAATAGTGCCGCACCCATTTCGGACCACGCGTTGCTTTCAGGAGGGCGACGCCTTCTGGGTGGAGGTCAATGGCAAGGCTGTGGAGGTCATCGTGCCTGAGGGCTGCGGTCCCGGCACCCTGCTGACCATCGAAGTACCATCCGCACCTCGCTTTTGGAATTAGGGTGGATCTCGAGGTTCACTTATGGACGACGAGATTTTGAACAGTTAGACGTGCACTTTGTCTATGGTCGCTGCATATATGATAGATCTGTAAGTTCAATCACAAAACATTTGATCGATTCGCTTGGCCTTCTTTAGAGAATATTTGGAGTACTGCATTGCAGACATGGTTCAATTTAGGATGCATGTACAGTATAATCCAGTGCATGAATAATATAGATAGACAAGCCCGATGCTTTATACCCAATTCTGTTTCAGGTCTCCGAGCTGAATTTCGAGGAATCGGAGCGCATTGGACTGGATAGTGAGCCCTCTTTGCAGGAGAAGCGTCTCGGACTGCATTGTTCGGGTCAACTTGTTCTAAGGGTGCTGGCGATCGGTTCCACCAATTCGAGGGTAAAACGTGCTCAAACTCATGATGTAGGTCCTTTGCTTGAGGCTCCTTTATTTCAGGCTTTGGAAATATGGTTGACCTTATAGATAGATGCGTGGACCTGGGGGCTGTCACAATTAATAAGGCCGTAGTCAGCGCTTACTCTTGGCTTGTTCTCGGCTTTTCCGCGGATGGCTTTTATATATAGATTAATGGATGGGCGAGGTCGGGCCGAAGGTCTGAAGCAGGCTGAAAAAGCTAATGGCTTAGTCCTGATCCTTAAGGCTTACAGCTTGTAGAGTCATAGCTTACAACTTATATCTCATGATGCGCACATGTGAACTTGTCTTTTGGTTTCAATCAGCACCTGGAAGCCCAAGTCTCTGGGGATGTAGTTGGAGTCTCCTCCAAAATGTGTTTGTATTTTACGGCTGGCAAGCTATGAGGCATAATCTGCAAAATACCTCGCGGTTTGGCCAAGATATCCATGGAGCTTGGAAGACCCTCTTAGCGCAAAGAGACACCCAAAGTCTACTGGTCCCATGGGCTACTGTCAGATGAAATCTAATCACTGTGTTGCATGCTTATTGCCAACCATTTACAAGAGCACCGTTTGCATAAGTGAAACGCCTGACACTGGGAGATGTTCCTCTCCGGCAAGGCACCGCCCGGTGATTGTCACTGAATATTGCGAGCGAGTTCTGTCAACGATACAGTTGTGGTTATGTGTAATATACCCTATTTCCAACAATCACGGAAGTGGACAGGAGGCGTTGTCAAGAAGACAATTGCCTTATTTTAAACAAATCGCGAAATGTACAGTACTTTTTTCGAGCCACTAGCGCTCGGGTCGCTCGGTTCGTTGCCTACGACCCGAAACGGGTTTAACGAGTTCCTTCTCGCACCAGAGACCACCAAAGGACAATTGTGTGTGTATCCGAAAGGAACCCATTTATGGTCACCCAACTTTTTGTCAGGTTCCCCTGGAGAAACTGAAAGTCCCCCCGTCAAACAACCTAACCCGTCCCGACCCGTCCCCCTCCCCTCCCCCGAGCGGAGGTCCGTCACAGAGCTCACGGAATTGGAGGTGCCGCTGCCGGACGTGCGCCCGGGGTCGCCCTTTCGCGTTCAGATCCAGGGCCAGGAGCGTCTCGGACATATAGAGCTCGTCTTCTGAGTTCGCGAGGTTGAAAAGTTTTGGGAAGACCAGGAGTTGGACTTGAAACCAATTACTTGGTGTTGTACCATTTCAGTGGGAAGCACGTTTCAGTAAAGATTTGGTTTGGCTTGTGGAAGTAAGAATGGCAATGCAGACAGTTGGTTCAACGACCAGACGATACCAACACCATGTCCTAGTCAATGCCCCAACAAAGGGGAAACAGAGTGAAGTTGTTAAAATGGGGGAGTGGATCCTCATCTTTGAATGGATTTGGAGGGGGCCTGGGCCACATCCAGGCCCCGTTTTATACAGTCAATCCATAGCTTCCTGCGTGGTTGAATTCCCATCTGGGCAGATTAGATATTAAATAGTTCGCCAATTCAGGAGACAAATAAGCGATCTGCTCAATATGCGGAAGTCCTCAAAAGCGTTGGCCGCGCAGAAAGGAGATGGACTCAGAAAGGGCCCTCCAAAGGTCTCAAGAGGTCAATTCAATTCTGCCAGGGACCCGCATCCGGAAGAGTCAGGCTTCCGAGACTGTTCAAACTGTCACAATCCTGGAAGAAGCTGCTTGTTGACCGTTGCCGCTTGTGTTGGGACCACTCGAAGCAACTGCTGGCGAGTCACATTTTGAGCGCTGGTTGAACGTGTTCAGGCGTCAATTATTTTGGCCCACGTTCAAAGCCTTTTGCACTGAAACGAATCGAATTGTCATGCATGGCTATAGCGGCTATATACGTGGAAAGTACACGAATCACGAGTGTGGCTGGGATACGCTGGGCGTTGAGGCAGAAACATTGAGGCAATTTCGCAGCTCACTGTCACTGCATCTCTTTGACTTGGCGTTAAAGCCAATCCGGGATCACCGTCATCAAAAAGTAGCAACATATTTGTTCAATCCCAAGCGAGGACATGCCATGTTGCCAGAACGAGATTCTATGAGATAGGCAAGTGCAAGAGCACTATCCAACCACATTTCTGGGATGTGTTCTAGCAGTGTTTGTTGAAGGACACTGTGGTTGAGTGGTGGACCACACTTATACCCCGAGATACGAGCAACTTGCGGGATTCGTCGGGATAGTCAAGAGTCACTCAGAAAAGGCAGCCATGTTAAGAAGTCCAAGCTTGCAAGCTCTCGGTTTTCAATCGCAACAGTGTTGTCATGTGTTTCTTTGTGAATTGCTGAATAGCCTAATCCAATGCCAGATCGGTTGGATTTGGATTCCTTTGGGTTTCCCTTTGAAGCATCCAAACAAGGGTACACTCAACAACACGCATTTTAGGGGGTCCCCTACTTTAACACACCATATTAGCTTCGAGCCCATTTGACTTCCGCGAGCCGAGGTTTTCCTTGATCGCCCCGGAGAATTCGGTCCCCGGTGCTTTGCTGAAGGTAGCGGTGCAGATCCTTGGACAAGCGTTGCGTGCCTGTTTGATGTTTGCAGTTGGGTGAAACATGGCTGGTGGCTTTCCAATGTAACCCACAGAAGGTGATCGGCCGTTTTTCTGGGAAAGCAACTTGTCATGGACTTGAAACGGTTGGGGAAGAAGTTTGTATCATAGGTTAGTTAACCCCCGTATCCCCCCCTCCCAAATGTCAAAATCTCAGTAAGACTCGTTGCTGAGCACTACTGAGCGCAGCAAGGATTTGGCATGTGGGGTGGGGGGGGGTTGCTTCAATTTTGCATAGCAAAGCTTGGATTTGTTGAAGCTTGCTTGGGGCTCGAAGCGTCATTGCGTGCTACTAAATACTTGCTAAGCCTGGATCGCCCATGTGCTGTGTTCTTGGGGGGGGTGATTGAGAGGTCCTGGGTGCTACTGAGTGCTACTGAGAGGCTTACTGAGCCGGGATTCCATGAATGTGCTGTTTTAGGTTGTGATTGAGTGTTTCTGAGTGCTACTGAGTGCTTACTGAGCCGGGATTTCAACAATGTGCTGTTTTAGGTTGTGATTGAGTGCTACTGAGAGTTACTGAGTGTTACTGAGTATTCCTGAGTGGGTTACTGAGTGTTTCTGATTGCAGCTGAGTGCTGCTGCGTGCCTTTTGACTGCTACTGAGTGCTTTCTGAACGCTACTGAGCGCTTGCTGCTTGCTGCTGAGTGCTTTTGAGTGCTACTAGGTCTACATCCGCTGATGTTCAATTCACAGGTGTTCGGCGTTCAGTGCGCAGCGCAGTTGCAGCACAAATGACCGCTAAGAAAATGACAGCACACATAGGAATCATTACGGTTCCAACTACTCAGCAAGACTCAGTAGCACTCATGATCAATTTTGACTGGTGGCCATGTCTTACTGAGAGTTGCTAAGCCTTGCTAGCACTCGAAGCAAAGAACGTGATTGAGCCTTACTGAGCCTTACTAAGCCTTACCAAGCCTTACTAAGCCTTACTAAGGCCTGCTAAGGCCAACTGAACCCTACAAAGCCCAAGATTCAAAACGAATGTGTTTCTTTTTTTTGACCCGAAGCCACTCAAAATCTCCTAGGGGCGGGGGGGGGATACGGAGGGGGGGTTAACTAACCTATGGCTGAAGGGGCAAAGAGGGGACGTGTGACGTGCGGATGTGCTTGTTGGCGTCCCAGTCCAAATCCATGAAGGTGGCCAGTTTTCGTTCATGTCCCAGACTATCCTTCGGTAAAAGAAATAGCATGCACGGGGGCCCTCATGACTTACCTTGACAAAAGGGAAAGACATGCAAAACCCAGAATTGCAGAGAGGACTGAGGATCATGTTGCTGTCATAGTTTGTTCTTTCAATGGTCTCGAAGCAAGGAGCCTACGGGAGCCAACTGAGCGGCACAGCAGCAGCGACAGTGGCGACGACCTGGTTGTACCAGACACCTGCAAGGCGTAGAGTGGTCCAAGGACCTACCAGGATTTCAAGTGTCGGAGGTGGTTATCAAATATATATGGCCCTTTCTCGACCCTGCCGCCTTGCGCCGCCTTCTAAAGGTGATACCAAACAGGGCCTCTAATTTTGGCAACAACCAATATTGTTTTCTGGGGGAGTGATGAGAGGCGCTTGTGCTACAGGTGTTAAATGGCGTTGTTTGGCATTCCACAGCGAAGCTATGCTGGCTTTGTTTGTGATTGCGTGCAGGTTTGGTGGGCGCATCATAAAGCGACAATACAATGTTATTGGGATTGTACCGCTGTAAATGCACGTCAACACCCGAAACCTGTACCTTTCACCCGGCTCCATTAAATCACCCAGGATAATTTAAGTGGAGGCTGGCCCCCTTTTGCGGTGGATCCTTCACTTTGGCAAACACAACCAATGGCAAGCAGGCTCTGCTATGCGCATTTTGTATGTAGTCACACTTGTGTGCGGTGATTAATTAGTTTTGCCATACAGGGTTTCAACATGGTTGTTTGTCTATGTTGCCTATTACCTTCATGTTCGTGCCTGCATTGGCCCAGGGCCAACTGAGTCAAAGGGCTTAGCTAGCACCATGTCACTAAATGACAAATGAATGTTTGTGCTTGTGCACTTTGGTTTATTCGTTTGAGAGTACCCTTGTGGTGTAGGTTCAAAGGAAACAAGGGAAACCAAAAGGAAATCAAGCCATGTTAGGGATCCCCTATTTTAACACAAACCAATTTAACTGTGCACACTGTCCACACTTGTTTACTCAAGGATGTGTTCCTCATTTGGTGGTTGAGCATGAAGCACGTCAAAGTGGTCTCGAAGCAGACTGGTCTCGAAGCAGGCTGTAGACACCCTGTCGAAGAGAGGGGCCCTTCATTTCCAACCAGCAGAGGGGTACTTACTTGATTCATAGATCTACTTAGATCCAACTGTGGATATGCTTGTGGCATCCGTGGTGCTCCAAAACGAAGAGATCTCGGCAAACTCAACAGAGACCAGTGGTCAGGGGGAAAACAAGCCCTCCCATGATGAAAGCCCTTTACTCGGGGTTCCCACCAGTTTATAGTAATTGGCCAGAGACATGTTGATTTGTGAGCGGTTCAGGCTGGCGACATTCTGCATGTCGAGCTGGACGGAGCTCCGGTTCAGGTGGTGGCTTGCTGAGAACTAGGCCTTCACTCATCCCGTTGTTTGTTCTGTGTTGCGGATGGTCTTTTTCCGTCAAAAAGGGTGTTGTAACCCAATTTAAGGGCACAGAACCCCTTTTGATGCCTTCTGAAAGCGCTTTTTGATTCTTGTAACGGGTCACAACCAGTCCCAAGCTGGTTTGTCACAGCTTTCGTTTGATTCCTGCGGAGGGTGTCCCTTTTGCCATGTTATAGGGTCAGCACGGTGAGATTCTTTTGCGGGCACTTGACCGCGCGTTCAAAAGGACCCCCTGATTTCTTGGATGTGATCCCTAGGCCACATGGTGCTCTAGCAGAGGGTGCTGCGGTTTGTTGACGGTACATGTTTGGTGTGCTCGCTGTGCCAGGTTCGTTCTAAACACTTTGAATGTTTGAAATCAGACGCGATGCCGTACGCAGGTAGTCGGAATGCTCACTGGCTCCCCGAAAGCGCCGACCAAAACTAATCTGCAAAACCTATCCTTGAAAGCGCCGGTTCCCGAAAAGCAGCTTCAAAGCATACACCTACCACAGCCAAACCAATACCTGTAGTTGAAATCTATCCTTGAAAGCGCCGGGTTCCGGCAAGACCGCTGCCAAGCACAAGCCTAGCCAAACCACTCAAGCACAGCCTTCCAAGCAACACCAATGCGGAGCATTTAAGGCGTCATCCAGCTGAGAATTCGAAACACCTGAGGTGTTGCTTTTTCTCAGGTACGCTGTTGGGCTGGTGTGAAGGGTGGCCAAAAGGAAGCCACTCCTTTTGGGGGTTCCCTTCGTGTCCCTCTGAAACAAAGCTCACGTCTTTGCAACGAGCAACATCTCAGAGTCAGCGAAGAGCCCCCCGCGGGGCCAAAGCAGCGTTTGCGACTCTCAGGTGATTCCCAGCTCTTGTGGCCCTGGCTCCAAGTTGCGGCTGAGGCGCACCTCTCTCTGGGGGGGCGGGAGAGGGGGCGGGATCGATGTCCCGGAAGGTCCTGTTCTGGGGGGGGGGGGTTCCAGCAAGATGCCTGAGCCAGACGAACGACACCCAGATTCCCCACAAGGGCAGCACAACGGAACATTGAGCGTTTGTTTATGGCTTAGATCCACATTCGTGACCTCATGGAGGCAACCATGAGTCTCCTGCAATGTTGTGCACGCTTGACCCCCTTGATTGAATTCGATATATTCGAGCTGGAAGTGCATCATAAGACTTGTCGCATGCTGCGCGGCCGCGCTGTTGGGGTTTGCCACCTTCACTTTCCAGAGATCATGTGGCACCTGGATTTTCTGGGGTTTTGATGTGATCCCGATTTGGGACTGTCATGAGACGATGACATGCTTTTCATGGACCTACAGCGGCTGCAGAGCGCAGCGTCCTTCCCCCCATTGCATGGTGTTTGGACGGGGCGTTTGTACAGCCGTGGTCAACACATTCCAGTTCATGCATTGGAGTCATCCCCTCGGAGGGGCTTTTACGCATCCTTTCAAGGCGTCAAGTTCAAGGCAGGCGCGCTTTTGCGCCCCCTTTCGTCGTCTACAATCGCTGTCTCAGCGCTTATCAGAACGGCGGTTCCGAAGAATCCACTATAAAATGCCTCAAGGATAGGTCCCTGGCATCTACTCGGATACGCGACTGGTCCAGTTGCATATTGAGGCCAATGCATGAGGCAGCGTTTGGTTTACAACCACATCAGTGTGTACACAGTGACCACAAAACACAAAGGACGAAGAGCATTTCAAGTTCAAGCCTCAGGCTTGAGCAAGCTCAAAGAATGCGGGACGGTTTAAGCAGAATCATGGACCGAGTCTAGAACATGCAAGTTCTTTGGGGTGTGAAATGGCCCATTGTTCTGAGTTCACCGGAACGGGGTAACCGAAAGAGGATGGTACATTTTCTTATTCTTCCAGACCCCCAAATTGACCACGCAGTTTTGGCCGGCAATCCAGTGAACGAGCATGACACAGGTAACTGGGATGCTTTGCACTAGTTGACGAATCGGAGGGGAGGGAGATGTTTGAGTTCGACTACCCTGCCCATAACCGGATAAGATGACTTTGTGCATGAGCAAGAGCGGCAGAGAACTTTCATGGGCCATGGTTCAACACTACGTAGGAGCCCATGTCACAAGAATCAACGTCACAGTTCAGCTTGCTGCGTTCAGCCTCATGTCAAGTTGAAGGGGCTTCCCCGAGAGGTTCCTCTCAGAGCGTGAGTTTCTGTGGGTCCATGCTAATCTGCAGGCGTAAACTTTTCAGGGATTTGTTTCGCCTTTCCTACCAGTGGGCTTCACAGTTAAAACGGGATGGTTGGGAGCCTGCGAGAGAGATTCCTGTGGAGAGTTGCCAACGTGTTGCATTTGAATCCAGCAGCCCAATTGTAGGTATCCAGAAGCAACCATGATGTAAAACCTTGCGGAAATACCTGGATACCCGTGCAGTAGCTTGGAAAGATTAATTTGTTTGCAGACTCTACGTCGGAGGGCAAACAAAGGAGTGATTCATCGTCTGATTTCCGCTGGTCCCCCCTGCGTTTCGTCAGGGAACCTGCTGCCCCAAATATCATTGGTTGTAGGGTATAGTGTCCATGTCGACTTAAACAACATGTTTTGAACACGTGAAACCTGGTTTGCCAAAACATGCGCTAGAATCCCTAGGGGAAAATTAAAAAGCAACGGGTATTTGGAGTGTACGGGGAAATATGGGGAATGTGTTGGTTAGCTCTGGTCGATGGGGGCATGTCAGCCGCTTCACTCTTGCCAGGAACACTACTTCTTCGTCAGGGACCATGATCTCTGAGATGAACCAGTCATTGACGCATCTCGTCGCCGCTGCCATGTGATTGAGAGTATGTTGTGCAGTTGGTTTTGCCTCATCCAAGAGATGGTGCTTTTTGCCCCCTCAGTCGATGTGTAGCAGATTGTAGCAGGGTTGCTGCAGGTTCCCTTGGTTTCTTCTGGCTGAGTCAGACTCTGAACAGAAACTTTTCTCAGGGCGGGAGGACCGGAGGACCTCAAAACCTAATGGAGGGGTATTTATTTTAGGATTTTTTTTCGTTTTTTTTTGGGATTTTTTTTCGCTTTTGGCTTCTTGGCTTCTTGGCTTCTTGGCTTCTTGGCTTCTTGGCTTCTTGGCTTCTCGGCTTCTTGGCTTCTTGGCTTTTCGGCTTCTTGGCTTCTCGGCTTCTCGGCTTCTCGGCTTCTGCTTCTTGGCTTCTTGGCTTCTTGGCTTCTTGGCTTCTTGGCTTCTTGGCTTTTCGGCTTCTTGGCTTCTCGGCTTCTGGGCTTCTAGGCTTTTCGGCTTTTTGCTGGTTTATGCGGCTTTTGGTGGCTTTTTGGCTTTTCGCATCCTCTGCATTCCCAGTTCCTCTTCGGCAGGTGGCGTTTTTCCGACATCATGGGGGGGGGGCCCCCCAACCCCCCCGCTACGTTTTAGATTTTCTGCAGAGATTTAATTAGTTGCACCCCTAGTTGAATCATCAATTCTTCGAACATCATGGGGGGGTTGCACCCCTAGTTGAATCATCAATTCTTCGACCATCATGGGGGTAATCTGTGTAGTCCGTGTATGTCTGTATGTATGCATTTCTTCGAACATCATAGGGGAAGCCACCCCCGCCAACCCTCCCGCTGCCTTGTAAATTCTATCACACCCTTTCTTGAATCATTGCACCCCTACTTGAATCACCACTTCTTCCGACATCATGGGGGGGCTGCCGCCCCCCCCAACCCCCCCGCTACGTTTAGATTTTCTACAGAGATTTAATTAATTGCACCCCTAGTTGAATCATCAATTCTTCAACCATCATGGGGGGGGGCTGCCGCCCCCCCCAACCCCCCCGCTACTTTTTAGACTTTTTGCAGAGATTTAATTGCACCCCTATTCAAATCATCACTTCTGCAAACAACATCGTGGGGGGGCTGCCGCCCCCCCCAACCCCCCCGCTACTTTTTATATTTTTTACAGGGATTGACATGCCCTCCTACTTGAATCATCATTTCTTTGACCCCGTCACACGATTTGTGGGTGATGCTAGGGATGTTGGTGGGACATGCGGGGTATATTTCGCGAGAACATGCTGTAAAATACGACACTTTACTGGCCCGGCAGAGATTGAATTGCACCTGTGTTTGAATCATCACTTTTTCGAGCGTCCAATTTCGCGAGAAAATGCTGCAAAATACGACATTTTAGGTAATCTGTGTAGTCCGTGTATGTCTGTATGTATGCATTTCTTCGAACATCATAGGGGAAGCCACCCCCGCCAACCCTCCCGCTGCCTTTTAAATTCTATCACACCCTTTCTTGAATCATTGCACCCCTACTTGAATCACCACTTCTTCCGACATCATGGGGGGGCTGCCGCCCCCCCCAACCCCCCCGCTACGTTTAGATTTTCTACAGAGATTTAATTAATTGCACCCCTAGTTGAATCATCAATTCTTCGAACATCATGGGGGGGCTGCCGCCCCCCCCAACCCCCCCGCTACTTTTTAGACTTTTTGCAGAGATTTAATTGCACCCCTGTTCGAATCATCACTACCCCGCTCTGTTTTTCTTAATTGTTTTTTTTTGATTTTTTTTTGCTGGGATTGAAATGCCCTCCTGTTTGAAGCATTATTGTTTTGACCCCGTCAATCCGCCAGCTACATTTGTTGGTGATGCTAGGGATGTTGGTCGGACATGCGGGGGATGTTGAAAACGATGCTGGGGATGTTAACGAGCTAGTGTAAAATGCGTCAATTTCGCGAGAAAATGCTGTAAAATACGACATTTTGCTGGCCCGGACGAAAAACGAAAAAAAATCAAAAAAAAAAAAGAAAAACAATTCCCAAAATAAATCCGCACCCAAACCTAATGAAGCCCCGTGGCAGATGGCAGAGAGCAGACCAGTGGTGATGCGAAGCCCTGTCGGCTTAGTTTTGTTGTGAATTGTGAAGCGATTTCTCAACTTGTTGTTCACAAAAGGGCAGTGCTTCTTTGTGATTGGAATCGCTCATGGACTCTCTGGGCACACTTTCCTAATCACCCGGGTGGATTGATTTGGGGAGTCAACAACTTGGAGCTGCTGAATTTCTTTCCGCCCACCCCCTCAAGTCGACAAGAGGTGCCGCAATTTGTCCCGCGCGGTAAGCTTCTCCGGTAACATGGGAAGCCCTCATGAATAATCGATGGGACTCGGGAACATACGGACATGGGTCATTGTAGATCTCAGGGTGAGTGCGGAGATCCCGAAGGCTTCCGAACCCTGACGAGCCCTAACGTGGCCTAAACTTGAGCCTCCCTGCTGCCCTGCCCCCCTTGGATCAAAGAACTGGACGGGGGACACGGGGACGCCAAAACAGCTTTGGAGTTCGGGCACTCGTGCTGGACTCCCCTTTCTTCCGGGATCCCAGAACATTTGGCTCATGTTGAGTGTGCGGCGGGGGATGGCACCATCAAGGCACTCCTCACGCCCATGGTGCCAGTTCCGGGCGGAAAGACAGGGATATTTACAGATCCCCGACCTGCAAAAAGGCTTCACTACATGTTCCTATTGGCGGTTCTATGCATCTCCTGTTGGCCCGTTTGAGGTGAGTTTGCCTCGGCAGGGGTGAAGTGTCAAGGGAGAATATAGGGAACCTGGCTTGCATGAAGTCAACAATGATTGTTGAGAGCGATAGGAAACTGCTGTTGATAGAGACTATAGTGCATTTTTCCTGGCCATGATTGGCCGAAGTGTTTCTGATAGCTCCTCTTTCAGGTTGATCAATCTTGGCAGTTAGTGGCGATCTCGTGGGCTCGGAGGACTTTATTCATTATGAAGGCGCTTTCCTTTTGAGTTCCTTGGCCGGTGAACTATCATGACTCACCCAGATCATTCTGGGCAAGAACGCGAGGTTAAAATGAGCTCACCCATGAAGGTCCCTGGGGGATTCATTGTTTCCACTACAACCCTAAGGGTCCAAGTCTTCCAAGAAGGAGCTTTTACCGAATTTAAGTCTCAGCACCCCTCTTCTCACGGTACTTGGAGCCCCTTGGGCAGTAACTCGCCCAGACCAACGTAACAACAAACAAGTGCTCCACTCACATCGGCTGCAATTCCGCGACTCGGGCTATAGGCAGTCTTCGTTGCACGGCAAGTCCGGCCAGGTAGAGGCGCGGTGCATCGAACCGGTTGGTTTCTTTCACAAAGCCCAGTCCAGAATTGCCCGGGCCGCAAAGTGGAGCCCTCTTTGGATCAGTTTTTGAAGTGCTTTAGGCAGCACCTGAGAACCCAAGAACACGGCTAAGGCCACTTGGAGTCTGCCAGAAGTCACGCCAACATCAGCACAACTCAGAGTTTTGTGGGTTGTTTGTTTCTGTATGTTACGGTTGACAAACTATGTCACATGAAATGAACGTACCCTGGGGTGGGCCAAGTTTTTTGTTGTTGAGGCAACTTGAGAATCGGCTCACACGGCTATACCCCAAATCTCTTAACTGTGTATTTGTCAATCAACCAGAGCGGCGTGAAGGCAAGAGATACCTTTTACGCGATGTTTTTGCACGGAGGTGGATAGAGCAAGTCTTTCGTTCTGTTGATTTTCCTGTGTTGACCTTCCATGCGGGTGGAAGAGACAGCATGCAACGAGGGCGCACAGCTCTGACTCACCAGCTGGTTTACTTCTGCGCCTACGGTTTCATTTGTGGTTAGGGATGATGGTGACGTCAGGTGCATAGATTAACAGGAACCATTCCCTCATGATTTACGATTATTTACGCAGAACAAGCATACTGCATACTTTCAGAAGACATGCTTTGTGCAAGGAGTATATAAGCAATGCATAGTTCGACTCATAAAGAGGAGCTCCAAAGTTTGACATGCTCCGACGTAAACATGGCATATATATATATATATATATACAGACTACCAGGACCAGAGTTGTGCCTCTTGGGCCTTTTCAGGAAGCACAACTCTTTCCCCCTAGAATCCCGCAAGTTGTTGCTGGGTCATTCGCAGTCGAATTTTCACACTCCAAAGCCTTTGAAGTATTTTAAGTTTCAACTAGGGTGATAATTGACAGTCCCACTCCTGCCACATAAAACGGAGTTGGAAATTCGATCCGCGGGTGATCCACACGACTTTGCAGAAACCATCAAGAGGCATAAACCGTTGTCCTTCCTATGTATATATATATATATATGTATATATATACATATATATAATGCTTCCTTCGTAGCATATGCTTATGTTGTTTCCTGATTCGTTGCATAATCTTATTTGTCGTACCTTTCTCAAGAAAATGGTGAGACATATGCTTTTGTGTTTTCTTGGATTTATCCTCCAAGATGATTGGTCTCTGAAAGGAGCGCGCACAAATCGAAGTGCAACACGAACGCAGCAAATCTGCAAAACGAGCGCACATATCTGCAAACGAGCGCATGGTGTGTTTGTTCTTGTTTAACGCAACGATTGCTCGCCTTCCTCCGAACATATTGACAACAAATCGCCCTGTTTTTGAAGGACCGTGAGCTTTTCGAAGCATCGAGCTGAACAGGATGGCTCGCACACAAGTTACACGTCGCAGCACAAATTTGCGTCACAATTGGGGGTGGGCCTCGGGATTTCCAGATAGGGATTGGGATGTTCTAGTGTACAACATGTCACGTAACATCCGGCCCTTGAGGCATTTAGGTCACATGCCCCAAACATCTCGGCTTGTTTGTATCACAACTTGGCCGGCACCTGGTCAAAACTTGTGGCCTTGTCGAGGAACTATGGCGCCAGTTTGGGGGGATGCTTCAGCGGGATCACAAGTCACCGAGAGGCTTCTTCCATTTGCCATGGAGGCTTACAGGATGCAGCACCTATCCTAGCTGATCGGTCATTCCTCGAAAGAGTGAATCCCCTCTACAATGGGCCCCCCTTCTGAATAAACTGAGGGCTCATTTCTCCTGGCTTCCCATTATTAAGGGCCGGAAGGGCTTGCTTCCTGACACAATAGGGGCAAGGGTTCGTACCGTTGAACAGGGCATCTTAAAGTCTGATAGGCAAGCTTGGCCCGCTCTGGGCCCATGACAACCACAGCTTTGCGAAAATAGATAAATAAAACAAATGCTAGGATCTTGCAAGGCCTTCTGCACTTGGCCGCCTGTGTTTGCTTATGAATGAAGTTACAAACCTCCTGAATCGGGTTTGCCAGGTTGTCCACCCCTTTCGTAGGTGGCAAAGTTCTGTAGTTGCCCACGCCCCCATCTTCCGCTAGGAGCAGTCTCAGGAGAACCAGCAGCTTGGATGCAGCGAGGTTTTTCGGACTTTCCCACTGAATTCAGGTTGTTTGGCTCCCTGAAGTGACATGTAGTGGCTCGGGGCTTGTCGGACGGTTCATTTTTGATTGGGTTCCGACCAAGTGATTCAAATCGGAAGCTTTCTAGCACTCAAACTGTTCCGCTTGCTGTTTGCGCGTGTTCAGATAGCCTCTGAGAGGCAGGAAATGAGGGCCCTCGTTGCAACTCGGAGATGGAAGCGTGTTTGTGTTGTCATGCATGTGCTGCATGTACATGTGAGCAGCCCCAAGAATGGATCAGGTACTCTCCATGTTGCCAGAACCCCTGGGAAAGAAGGCCAACAGCGAAGCAAGGTAGGCCACTTGTGACTCCACCCGGTAACTGGGGCCATCACTTGAACCAGATCCCCCTTGTTTGGGTGTGTCTTTTTTGACGCTACCCTTTTGGTTTAAATGGAAATGCACAGGAAACCAACTCCTTTTCGGGGTTCTGCTTGGACCAATCCAGCATGTGACCTGCCTGCCTTGTAGGCCGTCGCAGACGGAGATGGACATCGAGGTGCCCAGCGGCGCGAAGCCGGGGGAGGTGCTGACCATCGAGGCCAACGGCAAGACCTTCGAGGCCGGCGCGCGGAAAGTGGAGAAGGTAAGCATCTACATGGACCCATTTTTAAAGGGTCATGAGACTCCAGGTAGTCATACCGTCTGTTCTAAGAACAGGGTGCTCTGCAAAGATGGGCAAACTGGGAAAGTGGGTGGTTTCGAAAGACAGTTTGTGAAGAGAATGGGGAATCAACCCTTAGAGATCTGGACAGATTCACATGAGCTCACCAATTCGCTTCGAGGCGCGAGGTGCGGAAGCTCCACAGAAACGTGAGATGTGACACGGATTGCCTGATTGAAGCATGATGGCGTGGCTGCCGATTGTAGTTGCAAGTCATTGTTGGTTTGAGTCACTTGCGATGAGTAGTTTCTGGACTTGGGCGGTGCCTCCCTGGAAAGGCCCAGCTGAATCTCTTGTGTTCTTGCAGGTAATTGGGAGGGTGATGTGAAATGTACGTCGCCCGGTTTTGACTCGGCCGCGAGAATCAATCTTTGATAGAGGAGACTCACACACACACTTACACTTGCAATTACACTTAAACTTTACTGCCATGGAGTTCAATAATAGGTGAATATTCGCTCACCTTTTGATAAGTTTGGCATAGAATTTGCCTTAAGGGGTGGCAACATTGTTTGCAGTTGGTCTTGTGTGCAGCTACTGCTTTGACCAAAAAGGCGCACCATTTCTCGCACACATATGCACAAACAGGCCCTGGCACTCTCCAAACTGTACACGTCCACACCCACACTGTCATGGGTTGATACTTGCGACATGAGCACGTTGCACACAACAAACTAGGCATTAATTACTTTTCATAGCAGTGTCTCATTTTTGGGCCAGCTTTCTGCAGATTTTTTGCAAGGGTTGGTGTCGAGAAAAACACCTCAGGGATCGAATCACTGGACTTCGCCTTGACATTGGAGGCATCAAGCCTTGGGACACTTGGGTCTTTCGGTGTCAGCCCCTCAAGTGACCAAGCGGCTTAATTGATACCAACATGTTCCAAAGCTAAGCCACGGAATCATACCACGTTGACATAGCATCAAGCCATGGCTTTTCTTTCTGTATTTGAGGTTTGGCCTTGCTTGATGCCGCAATGAGTCAAAGGGTTGGAGGCCAGTCTGGGTTTGGCTTGAAATAGGGGATCCTCAAAATTGGCGGCTTTCCTCTTTTTCCTTTTGAAAAGAGTACCATCAGGGATTTCCCAACTCGACCTCCTGGAGATTTGCCAAATGGCAACTCAGTGACTGGAGGATTCTCGTGCCAGTTTGAGCCATTTCGAAAGGTCGATTTGTAGGCAAGAGGCGGAGTTGAGCAGAGCAATCCATGCTCGGGTTGGAGGTCAATGAGTACCCAGAAATTGGTACCTCTAGGTTCGGGCAGACCGTAGGTGCCACCGTTTTGATTATTTGTATTGAAACGTGCCTGAAAGGGGGAGTGCCCTTTGAGTGGTTGGCTTACACCCCTTGAACCGACGACATTGCCTTTAGGGCATCCACCCTGCGGCCATTTCAGCCTTGCTGAGCCGGCTCAGACAGGTCACGGTACCCGAAAACGCCCAGCCCGGCAGCGTCATCACCATCGGCGTGCCGGAGGCCGTGCCGTGTGCCAGGGATATTTAATTAAGAGCACCAGCAATCAACCCAGCAGCGCTCACAAAACCCATTGGCCAACTTAGTAAGTTGTTCTACAACCTGGATGAATACGCGTTGTAGTGCGGCCTGCAAGAACCTTGCTTGACAAGTAGGTTGGTAGAAGCAATCGACAATGGGTTTTGGGCTACTCACTGTGGTAGCCTGTTGTTTCTTTCGGTTTTGTGGGTGTTCTGCTAAGAATGATGAAGCACAACACGGGGTCTCTTTTACTACCAGAGTTACCGGGCAACTGGAACAATGCCCCACGCACTAGCGCGACATGGCCAACCCTAACCTGAAACCACCTGGACGGTAGCTGAATTTTCAACTGCTACAATCTGACCTATGCCTGATGACCATCTGGGATCCAAGTTCTCCTTGACAAGAGCACCGGTGCATCCACTGTGCTTTGATTGGGGAGCGCTGTTCCAGTTCTAACGGCTTCACTTCGAGCAGAGCTCACCATTTTGGATCCGAGTGTCGGAGCCTTTAGCAAACTGAAGCAGACGAAGCGACATTTGAAGTGCGTGCCTGGGCGCTACATACATAGGTGCCCTTTTTGGTTGTTTTGGTGGAAAACTAGATGGCCCTGGTTTATGTGGTGGTTTAACCACCTACCAGGGCCATCTATTTCCCCTAAAAGGACACCTATGGCTACATATTTTTGGGAGGCAGAACAGACTTTGGACGTCAGCGACGAGAGTGTGGCTTGGTCTGTCCACCGCTATTGTCAGATGTCTTGGCTGTTCCAGCATGGCCTTGGTTTCACAAATGTGACTTGTGCCGAGTCACCGACCGTTTGGCACAGTGGAAATTCATGATCCTTTGAACACCCATGTCATATAAGAAGGTGCTGGCAGCCGGCAAGTTTCAGGCGCACCCCCCAATCAACCATGACTAATGGAGCACTGCTGACTTTCAGTTTCACCCTTGCCATAAACTGGGAAGCCGATTCAGCTTGTGTTCTTACCAACTTGGTGCTTTCTTCGCCCAGATTCGGTTCGCTTGTCAGGCATCCGAGCCGAGCGTCGCGGGCCAGAACGCTTCGGCTGAAACTTCCCGCGAGGCGCAGGGCTGAGCCAAACCAAAAACTCTAGTCACAAAATAGGTGTCTCTTTTCAGGGTGCCTAGTGTGGGTTTTTGTTCAAGGAACAATTGGAGGGTTGTGCTGTTAAATTCCCGTTAAATCAATCCAAAACAGGGCACCCTCAACGAACACGCCCTTTTCCGTCGAGCAAAAGCTGTCAACTTGGATTTGGCATTACACCAATCACTAGCGGCTCTTCTATGGCTCGTTTCACTCAGAGTTGCCCCAAGTGCGAGTCACTGGGTCTAGACGAGCCACTCATAGTGCGAGCCATTTGGAAGGTTTTTTTGGCAAGACCCTTTGCGTTCCCCGCCCCCTCCCTTTCCCCTGACTTGCAAGGTGGAAGTGGAGATCCCGGAGGGCTGCCACCCGGGAGACACCTTTGCCATTGAGGTGGATGGTCAGGAGATGGAGATCGTTGTGCCAGAAGGCACGGATGCAAAGAGGTTCTGAGAGGGGAGGGCACAATCACGGTTATAACTGTAGGGCATTTGCGGTTGGTCTCCTTATAATCACGGTTGTAACCTATGACGTTGGCTGAACATCCAAGTACGACTGTTGTTGACCGTCCTTCCCTTAGGCTGCCTCCCTGGCTCCGTGATAACCCTTGACATTGGGGAAGCAGCATCGGCGCCGGCAACTCCGGGCAAGCAGACAGAGGCACGGGCAAGTGACGGTGAACGTAGGTTTGTGGTGCCAGGTTTGTGCCAATTTGGAGATTAGCTGAAGGGTGAAGCTGGTTGGTGTTTGACCTTCTTTCCAACATAGGCTGAAGGCAGAAGGGGTCATGTTCATTGCAACAGGGGTTAAAACCGTTGGCAACGTGCACTGGTCAAGGCCTGTTTGGCGTCTCCTTTTGGCGGCAAGCGCTCTGGAGGTTTGGTTGGCTGATTGCATGGACCCTCAGGTGGAGTCGGAGCCAGCGCCGTTGCCGGCAGACCCTGCACCGTTGCCCGCAGAGCCAGCGCCGTTGCCCGCAGAGCCAGCACCGCTGCCGAACGAAACGGTGCCCACGGAACCGATGGAGCCACAGGATCCACAGGCCTGGAAGAAGGGTCGGGAAAAATCGACTGTTTATCGTAATTTATGCTAAAGCCTGTGACGGACCCTTGAGTTTCGTTTAGCATGGGGTTAAGGCAGGTCGTTTCAAAGAATTGCGCAAGAAGGTGCCAAAGTCAGGGTCGTCCATTACCCAGCACGGAGAGATGGGGACTTGTTTGCTCGGGACATTACAGTTCCCAGGGCTCCAGAAAATATGTGCCGACAGAACATCGCCCCCCAACTCAGTCAAAACAAATCAGCAACCAAGAGTGCAGTCAACCAACACAGTTTGTTTTTGCATTATAAGCAACACACAATACAGGTGATGTGGTTTTAAACCACGATGTTGGGCGAAGTATAGGGGTCATCGTTCCCTTTGGTTCCGATCCCAGGACTCCCAGGAGAGTGTCCCGGACTCCGGCGAGGCGTCTCGCGAGGCGCGAAAAGGGCGCAGAAGGCTAAATTTGCGACTTGTTTTTGTTTTTCTCATGGTGAAATTGATTCAGTTTAAGCCTTCTGGTACCACAAACCGCATTGCAAGCGTGATGTATCCCCTTGTATGACTCTTATTGTTCTTTCGGATGGGCGCTGCCTTTTTGGCTTGTTGCTCAGGCAGTCAAAACCAAGCCTTTGCTCTTGGATTTCTACCAGGTCCCAAAGAGACAGATTTCCCAGCTGCACACATGTGCCAATGTTATAGGAATATGCTCGTGCGGTGCGGGGGGCGGTCCAGGGCTGATCGAACCCTTTGAGGGGCGTCCCCCAGGCAAAAATCTGTTAATTCAAGCTTTTTCTGCCACCCCCCCACCCCCAAACCCTGACTAATTCAGGCATTGCGGGAAGCTCAGCCCTCGAAAGAAGCTAAATCTCAGAGAGCTCCCCAAGTTTGGGTCTTAGTGACCAGGATGCTCATTTAGGATTTCTACTCTGCATATCTTAGCAATCCCTGAGTCGTTGCTGGGCTGGCGAGCTTTCCTTCACCCACCTCTCAAAGTGTTGGTCACGTTGAGTACTCCACGAAATGTTAAGCTTGAATTTATCGGCCCTTTGGGCAAGTGAGACTTAGATTGATTGTATTTCAAGGTCACACGCACGTGTTTCCCTTAATTAAAGGCGGCAGCTGGTTGCACGCACAAAGCTCAAGACACAATCCCCGGGAAGTTTGGTCTTGGGTCTCTTTCCAAAGCAATGCAGACACAGGGTTGGGCAAAGTCGGTTCAGTTTGCTGACTAGTAATAGGTCATGCCTCCTTAAAACGGACACAGGAGGGTGTTCAAGCATCGGTTCAAGCAAGTTAGCCAGGTGGAACTGGAGATCCCGGAGGGTTGCGAACCGGGAGACACCTTTACCGTGGAGGTGGATGGGCAGGAGATGGAGATCGTTGTGCCAGAAGGCAGGGATGCAATGTTTTGAGAGAGGAGAGGGCACCACAGTTTGAGCCAGGAATGTCACTTAGTTCCGCGGCCTTTGGAGTTTCATCTCTTTCGAGATGCGCGTTCAGTGCTTTTTGTAACTCATGCCAGCCTTTGACGTCACGAGATTGCAGAGTCATACGGGTTATGATTCGAACGACTGGGACTAGGCACGACTCTGAGGCTGCTTCCCCGGCTCCGTCATCACCCTTGACATTGGCCCAGCATCAGTGCCGACGACGCCTGCGGGCCCTACGGAGGCGCAAGCGGGTATGATGGCATCTTGTGACAAGTGCCAATGCGGAAAGAGGGTGAAGCTGTCTGAGAGTAGGTGTCAAGCACCAGTGTTTGACGCTTTTCCAAGCTATAAGTTTGAAGCAAGCAGAACGCAAGGGTTAAGTATTCTTTTGAATTGCGGGTCTTCATTGCTACAGGGGGTCAAATCATTTGAGAGCAATTTGCATGGGTCAAGGCGAAAGCTTTGGAGGTTTTTCTGGCTGGTTGAGTTGAACCTCAGGGGAAGTCAGAGGAGCCAGCGCCTTTGCCCGCGGAGCCGGTGCCCGCGGAACCCACGGAACAGGCTTGGAAGGGATCGAGTCTTTGCACAGGCCGGAGGTTCCTTGGAGCGTCGAAGTACCTCCTTAGGTACTTGGACCCTCTTGGACCTTTGGAATAGATGTTTGACTAGGCATCATTCGATCCGAAATAGCTTCATCAAAACCGCGACTTCATCCTATCTCGGTAGCTTTTGCTACAGTGATGAGAGTATGAATTAGTCAGTCAAGGCAACCTGCTACTTCAATTTGATTCATGTATCAATTTCTAGCTGACTTTCACCCTCCCTCTCACGAACATGGCACCCAATCTTTCCTTCAGCAGGAAACGTATCTTCCGGCACCCTCCGATGCTATGTTCAGCACAGGTTCAGCCAGAGCCGACTGCCACCCAGCCTGTGGAGCCTGCGGAGCCTGCGGAGCCTTCAGAGCCGGCTGAGGCCATGGCTGGCCGGGGCAAGAGCATGTTCGAGGCTCATGATGACCAAGGTTAGAAATTTGGTTTGGGTTCCCTCTCTTTCCTTTTCTAGCCAAGTTTCTACCCTTGCCAGGCTCGGAGACACCCCTTCAAAGTGACAACCGACTTTTGATTGCAAGGTTGTATGTTCGCTTTTGAGGAAGTTGCATCACATCACCCCTTGGGCCAATTTGGATTCAGATTCATTGTTGGTCGGGTGATGCCTATAGAGGAAGTATCAGACACCCTGAGGTAGCCAGCATGGGCTGCTTTTCTTTTCTGCTGCCGGTTCCGGTTTGAGTCACCTGTTCGAGCGGCCCAGCCAAGGGGTTGTCTGAATTCGGCGAAGTATCTTAAAGAGAGATGTTCTCGCTAATAGTCATGAACTTACGGTTGAAATTAGAGGCTTTCGGAGCAGAGTCACTCTGGATACTTAGATACACACTTTCAAGTTCATTTGTGCCCATGTCAGAAGCTTATCTCAGATGGCGAAGTGAGCAAGGCCATCAACAGCCTGTTTAAGCATTCCACCCTTTCTTGCTGTGCAGCGCGGCATGGCCAGATGCAACGTGGTGTCATCAGCTACAGGCAAGATGCCATCTAGTGATAGCTGCCAAAAAGCTCCTAACATGTTCGAGGCATGCCTCACCCCACTCTCAGACTGCTAAATCACAGGTTTTGTCTCCTGGGCTTATCGAGCTGAGTCTGGCGGAAGTCACATCCCTGTGGGGACCCTCCATATACACCACCACCCAAAACCAAGCCGCCCCTCCAAACCGCGCTGTCAAACGCGCCCCAAAATAGCCTAAAGGGGACAGACCGTTGGACATGGCAGGAGCAGATGGTGGAGCTGGAGATTGAGGTTCCGGAGGGCCTGGAAGCCGGTCAGGTCTTCGAGGTGGAACCCCGGCAGATCTGAAAGGGAGAACTCGACAGCAAGGTACAAGGGCCTAGAATACAGTATATAATTTTACAACTCTACAATTGATACAAACCTCAACATAGTAGACACTTCGGTACCCTACAAGCCCTTAGGAAGGTATCGTCGAATATTGAGTTATTGGGTTGTGGCGTGCCACAAATCCAAACTGCATTCGGTTTAGAGATGTGTGTTGCTGTACGGGAGTGCTTGGTGTGTACGCATGGAAACATTTCAATATGCGTAATACGTGCGTGAGCAAGGGCTTCTACACCATCATATAGGTCTTTTTGAGGGTACCCCTTTTTTGGTTGGTTTTAAAGGGAAACGCAAGGAACACCACGCGCAAATATGTACATTGACACGTTTGCTGACCTCAGCGTTTGCAAATCCTATGCTGAGGAGTACGAAGGCAGCACATTGGATGTGGAGGTGCCTGAAGGCTGCGGCCCGGGATCTTTGATCACGCGCCTCGGCTCTGCTTCGGCGTGTGAGTGTGGAGTTTGTTTGATTCCTTTCTTTGTCCCCTTTATGCCAAACCCGGACCCCGAAAAGGGGGTTCCCTAAAAAGGGAAGACCTCCCCCACAAAGCCCTGCCTGCAGATTAACATGAAGCTCAAAAAGCCACCTAGAATCTCCTTCCAGGGAACCCCCGTTTTGGGCTCCATATTGAGTAATTTGCAGCGGGAGGGCTCCTCAAACCTATTGGGATTCGTGATGGAGAGGATTCAATGTGGCCCAACAGAGTTGTGACCTTTGCACACTGAGACTCAAGTACCATGCTCCCAAGTGCGTCCTCAAGCACGACAGCCACGTTGTGAATCACGACTGGCGACCAAATCCTGTAAGGCCAAATCCTGTAAGGACTGTTTCCCCCGCCTGATGTGACAGCCAGGTTGGCAATCCGAAGAGGTTTTTTTTTGGTCGGAAGACGAAACCCTTGTTTTGGGCGTCATTGTGAGGTCTTCTTAGCTTGGAAGAGAAGAGCCAGCAATATCTTGATGGCAACATTTGCCTGTTTGAGTCTGACCCCGAAATTTGTCCCCTTAACTTTATTTAGGGTCATTCAGGGGGGGGGGGGGGGCCTATTTATTAATCATAGGTGGACATTAATCTTCCGGCATGTGCCCTTTGGGTGGCAGGGAGAGCTGTGAGAAGTTGCGGCCGAGGCTGCAAGTCCCAGTTCAAAGTCAAAGCGGCTCCAGACAAGGCCAGTATCGGTTGAAAGTTGGCAACTGCGTCTCTTTGCTGGTCGACGGCAAGTCCAGCTGCGGCCAATTGATCCATCCGCACAGGTCATTGAAATGTTGTTCTCCTGGCTACTTTGCATGTGGCAATTCAAAGCCACTCTAAGCTGTATCTAGTGAAATCGGATAACTTGTAGGGTGCACGTTGGCCAAACCTGCAAAGCGAGGTCATCGAGCGGAGTGGCATGTTGCTGTCATGGCCCTCCGTTTACTAGGACCCGCTGATGAAGTGCAGCAGGCTCCGAAAGTTGCTGCGGACCAGCAAGTGCTGGAAGTGACTTGCCTACAAACAGGTTTTCCTCAAAGTGATGCTATATTTGTGTTTGGGCTGAATATGAATCAGAGTTTGTGCATCTTGTTCGCGATGTACCATGTGTACCCCACATTGGGCCAAGAGCCTATTGGCTGCTTTCCATGTTTTCAGATCATGACCTGACCTGGGACTCCAGGGTTGCAATCGAGCCTGTGCGCAGCTTACAGTAATTAAGTAGGTTGTGAACAGTCAGAGGCCCGTCAGCCCTATTTCAACGAGGGGTTCGCAAAACTGGAACCCAGGCGGGGTCGCAGTGGTGCCCTTTTTTCTCATTTCAATCTGAGGGGGGGGGGGGGTACCCTTTTCCCTGCTAAGTTAAAGCATGGATGTGTGAGCTAAGTTACACATGCTCTTGTGCAGACCCTATGTTTGACGACTGCCCCAATCATCCAATGGCAACACCTGACACCCAACACTCCGACCCCGAACACAGCCCAAGTCTCTGTTGGCCCCAAGCCACAAGCTGGAGCCTGGCCGAAGCCTGAAAAGTTGTTGCGGGCAAACCGCAACCCGAAGCCCTCAGCCTGGCTGACGGCTGACCCTAAGCCAAACCTGAGGCACATAGACTGCTTACCCTGCCAACTTAAACTTGAAGCCTCAGACTTGGGGAAGCCCTGGTTGACCGTAAAGCAACTCCTAAACAACTCAGTGAGGTTGCCGCTGCATTAGCGCAGATCGAGGTGGCTCCGCAGCCTGAGGCGCTGCTTTTCCTTGCCACCTATTGGGAGAGTGTGTGTGTGTCTTTTGGTTTTGTGTGTGTGTGTTTGTTTTCGGGGTGTTGTTTGGAGGTTGCTTTACGGTTTAAAGGGACACCAAAAGGAAACCTGGATTTTAGGGGTCCCGCTATTTGATACATACCCTACTGGCTTACCAGTTTCGGTCCGCTTTCGGGGTTCGGACAATGTCATCTTTGGGGTCGGTTGGGCAAGTAGCTAAAACGGCTTCCAAAGGAGCAAATCTTTCTTGTGGTTGGGATTCGGGAACGTGAACTTGACAGCTGAGGTTTGTTGTAGATCTTAGTCATGTTGTCTTTTTGTTGGTGGAAGCGCGGTTCCTGGTTTAGACAAGTTAGGCTGTGAGGCATGATTTATGATGCTCGATTGTTATGTCACGTCGTCGTTTCAAGGTCAAGGCGTAGTGATTTATTTTCTAGCTCAAAGCTGTGGGGTCTCTGCCCACAAGCTCCGGAGTTGTCCGGAGCGGCTCTGATGGGTTCTGGAGCGTTCCAAGGATGGTGTGGAGTGGTTGGACTGAGTTCCGAGGGGAGCCAGCGGTTTGGAGCTGCAGGCAAAGGTTCCCCAAAGCTTCTGGCGGTCGTCATTGGGGACACCAACTGTTCTTCTATTCTATTGACGATGTGAGCAGGATTAGGATTGAATTTGCGGTTGCATGCTAAGAGATTGAGCTGTCGGTTGAGGAGTCTAGGTTTGCCTTAGAACTTGTTAACATGTGGATTGCCGGATGCTGAAATGTGGACCCATTACAGGGCCGCTTGCCACATCGAAGCATGGCAACTTTCAACCTCTTCATTCGTTCAAAACAGCTGTCTCAACATCAGCACTTAAAAATGTCCTGTGCAAGCCAAATGTGTGCTGGCTGATGCCATCAACAGGCCTGACAAGCGCTGCAAACATGTTGATTGCTTCAAGGATTGCAAATGCGTTGCGTAGTGGAAACGCCCGCACAGGAGCCTACAGAAAAACCTGGGGAGCAGCCTTCGGAGAAACCTGCAGAGCAGCCTGCGGAAAAACCTGCGCAGCAGGTTGCGGAGAGTTCTTCTGACTCTGAACAAGCAATGAGCGCACGTGTTTACTACGACTTCACTTGCTTGCTGTCAACTTTTGCAGTGTTTGAAATATGCGGAGATTGTTTGATGTTGATTATTGTTTTACTTTGTGTTAGTTGTGTTGCGTCGTGGTTGTTATGTTTAGATTGGTGATTTGGATGTCCTTCCTGCCAACTACCCGCAAGCTTGCAGGAGAAGTTAAGTGGCAGAGAGCCAGCTTGTAGTTTCAGGACATGTGGGTGTTGAGGATTCTGTTGATGCTTCCCTCATTTCTTGGCTTGAGTTCCGGCTAATTATGAAGCACGGACGACGCTTTGAGCCATCATATTGGGGACTCGGTCCGCAAGTGCTGACCCTACCGTTTTCTTCAGCTCCTTGGGATCCTTTGACAGCTTGTTGACAGCTTGACAGTTGCCAAGGAGATGCCGTCCAACTCGCGCCCAGTCATTGTCACCGAGACCGAGGTGACGGCTGCAGTTCTTGTGACAAATCCGACAATGATATGTGGTGGTTCGAGGCTACAACCATCCAACCAAATGTATGGAGTTTGCTTGGTCTAATGTTTGGTGGTTTGCTGGTGGTTTGAGATCGCCCCAATCCAACCGATTCAAACAATTTCGAGCGCTTTGCCACTCGCGGACCCGTAGGCAGAGGCGGCAGAAGAGGAGGTGCCGCTGTCCCCCAGCGGGGAATTCGATGCTTTGAAGTTTCCCACCGGCAGCGAGATGGCCTCTGGGGGGCCGTCCCTGCTCCTTGGAGAGAGGGAAAGGATGGACACCAAGCGCAGCAATCGATATCCAACTGGCAACGAGATGTAGCAAACAAAACCTAAGACAATTCAAGAATATGGGAGAGGTAGGTTGGAAACTCACGAAGGTCATTCCCCTGTTTGGGCATATCAGGGGATGAGCAGATTTGAGGTGAATGGATACTTGCTTATAGTAAGGTGTAGAAGATGGGTACAGGGCACACTTGGCAAATGGCATTCCTTGTCACTGACCGACCTTGGGGAATGTGCGTAGATTGTTGTTCGAAGCATGCCTGCTTCAGAGTACACATGTGTTTCGCAGCTGGTTACTCATTGTGTCAACCCTTTGTGATTGGGGGGAGGCATGCAGCAAAAGAATTCGACTGGCTAGATTTCGAACCATGGCTCACCCAGTGCTTCTGGGTACACACTTGAAAATTGGCAGCACCAATGCTAGCATGTACATCATATAGGGCTTCCGTTGCAAGCTTTGAATCGCCGTTGCCCTAATCAACATGTTTCCGAGCACATACGCCATGTAAACTTGGGTTGGTATGTGACAAGCATGGGCTTTGAACTCTTGACCTGAATGCGGGAGTATAGTGTTCAGTTGTTGCCGTGGGCATTTTCCGCAGAGACCTTGGGTTTCTCTCTGAGGTGATGTGGAACACTTGGCCAAGAGTTTAGAAGAGAGGTATGGTCATGTATGGTCCTGCTACTGTAAGCTGGACCCAGCCAGTCAGCTACATGTCCTTGGCATATCGTCAAGTGTCTGATTGTTTGCGACGGCTTTTGAGTTTCTCAATGCAGCATCTTGAACCAACATTGAACCCGCTTATCGCAATATTCACCGAGCTGTTTAAGCTTTAGACCCTGAAGCAGCGCGACTGCAACCATGTTCATCGTCTGTACAGCGTATACATTCAGACGCCCAAACGTGTCGCCCAGACTGATGAATATTTGGATAAACGGCCTACCAACTGGTAGAGGATCTTGTCCATCCACAACAAGGTGGCAAGTGAAGAAGGTTCCCAGTTCCTATTGTCCCGCGACAGCAGCTGCCCGCCTTATGGTGCAACAGATTGCTTTTGGTTTCAACAGGGCCTTGCTTCTGGATAAGGGACAAAAGAGCCATCATGCCTTTGCTAGGCTCGCCACGGGCGAGTTCGATGCCATGCTTTGGCGGGAGACTGCTGCAGCTGCCCTGGCAGGTGTGGAGGCGAAACTCTTGGCGCCTCGACGTCTCGGGCAGATTCCCAGTATCTTCGCCCATCGGTTCTTTTGAGACGCCACCCATTTTTCCCAGGGTTTGGCACATATTTTGAATTTTGAAGAGAAGGATCTCGCAAGAGAATGGAAAAGGAAGGTACAGCTAGAACCATTGGCTCGGCACCCTGTTCTTCCAGTTGATAGCCAGTGGATGCCAACAAGTTTGTTTTCCAACTTTTGTGCTTTTGTGTTGCGGGAGGGTCTCCCTGGAAAATCAACCACCAAAAATCGGGCGCCCTGGTTTGCCCATGGAAATCCACGGACCTTCTGAGTTCCTCTTTGTGAGCATGTGGCGGTGTTTGACATGGACATGAAATGGTGTTGTTTAAGTGTATTATATTGCTTGCCTGTGACGCATGCATGTGACTTTCAATGTGATAGTTTAGTGTGACATGGCCGAAAACTGTGCCAAGTTTGACACACTGTTATGTCTCAAGAGCGCGGAACATCTCGCTTGGACTTGATGGAAACGAAGCGTCAGGGTGCATTGTGTGACCTCCGGAACAAGCTTGGTTGCGCGAAAGCAGGAGAACCTGTTATGAGACAGCATATGCCGTTCCTGCTCAACCTGAAACACAAAAGGCAGCACCAGGGAAGTTCGCCAAGCAACCAACGGTTTGGGCCAGTTTCTTTGGACCCATCCAGCTGGCTGCTTAGACTAAAGCCAAACTCTTTTGCTCAGCCTCAGTGCGCCTTGACAGCACAGGGTAGGCACCGATACAAATCCCCGTCACGGGGTAGGCACCTTCTCTAGGTACCAACAAATCTAATTCTGTGAAGATTTCAGCGAGGCATGGCCAGCCTGAAAGGGCAAACTCCTAGGATGAAACAGGGATGTGCTTGGCAAAAGGAAATCTAGTAGCTTCCATTTTTGCCCCAGGGATGGTCTGAACAATGTGTTTCACTCCTGTCACTTCTTGAATGGGACCTCCATCGACTTAAATGGGGCCAAGTGCATGAGGTTGTGTTGGTGTTTTTTGTCTGATCCCGACATGTGTGTGTGTGTTGTTCGCCTATGGCAATGCATGCCAGCAAGGTCTCAGGTTCGCTTGGTGCAAGCAGTGCAGACTTATGCACTCTGCAGGCAGTGTTAGTCGGTGCCCTTCCATTAATTTGCTGTATGGTTTTTGCATGGATGCCTGTTGTCCTTTTTGTGTTTCAGTTTTGTCGTCTAGACATGCAGTCCCTCTGCCTGTCTCGGTTGTCGAGGTACCAAAGAGGCACCCCTAAGGCCACTTGGGGCTAAGAGCGCATGAGTTGTCCTCCGGAATTTCCCATCCGTTTGGCCCCCAACAACGTTAAGTTACACGAAAGCCGCCGGCTTGTTCTCCACAATCCTAGACGAAACGCTGTGGCCGTGTTTAGACCGGCCTCACAACCTGTGAAGCAGGCAAACTTCATTTTTCATTCTCGGCTTCGGGAGTTGGACACCATGCTCTGTCAACTGGACGAAAGTGCAACCACCCAAACCCCCCGAGCGCCGCAAAGGGGAAGCTTATAGAACGGGCTACGCCCGGGTGCCGCCGACCCTGTTTTTTTTTGCGGGCAGTTAGCGTCCATGTGTTGCAGCGGCACTCGTCCCGCGCCATGGCGGGGGTCGGATCGCATAGAGCGCAGAGAAAAAAGCCCACCAGTTCCTGCGCAGGCAGGTTCGCGAGGCGTGTTTTTGCACATACAGCGCAGTCCAAAGACTGGCTTGCAACAGCATCTCGACGCAAAAGGCCCGCAAGGCACCCAGGAGGCGCCGGCGGAGAAAGCAGAATTTGAGTCAACATGTCAAGTCATTAGCTTCCATAAGAAGTCAACCAGGTCAAACCCAGCCCAGGCACGGCCGGGCCGCAGTCACGCAGAGGCGCGCCCCCCGCGCCCCCCAAAACGCCCAAGCGCAGTGGCAGGGCGTGCCCAAAAGTACCAAAAATGGAGCGAAAAGGCGTGTGCGGAGGGTGGCGGAACGGCAGTTTCGGAACCCGTTAGGAAGACTAGGAGGGGCCCGGGGGCGACAGGGCCAAACCCAGCCCAGGCACGGCCGGGCCGCAGTCACGCAGAGGCGAGCCCCCCGCGCCCCCCAAAACGCCCAAGCGCAGTGGCA